TGTGTGTGTGTGTGTGTGTGTGTGTGTGTGTGTGTGTGTGTGTGTGTTTTCATATCTTTAAAACCACGGAAAGGCTTATGCTATCAATTTGTCTTGTGCTTAGTTGGTGGCCACTAAATACTGTATATGCCTCCTTTTACATCAGATGGCTGATTATTAACAAAGCTATGAAAGGGTCACTTGCCCCACTTTCTGGGTAGATTGGATCAGAACAGGCTGATTTGGCTGATTCTTATTTTTTCTCTTTATAGGGTAGTGACTTCTTTGATAGTTTGCTTCAGAAGCTGCAGGTTACTTACAAGTTCAAACTGGAGGACTACATGGACGGTCTTGCCATTCGCAGCAAGCCATTACGAAAGACAGTAAGCCAGCTTCTTTATCTTAAATTTATTCACTCACTTAGTAAGTATTTATCTGGTGTTAGTTATGTGCTAGGCACTATGCTAGGTGTTGAGTATACAAGAATAAAAAATACAGCCCTGTGGGGGAACAGACCAATTAAACCAACAACTATAACGTGATGTCATGAGTACTGCGGCAGTGGCATATATAGAGTGTTGAAGGGGCATGGAAGGAATTGAATCTGCTTTAGACTGGTGGGGGTCAAGGAAGGTTTCTTAGAGACTGTCAAGTTGAGTTTTGAAACATGACTAGGAGTGGAAGGGGCAGTTTTGATACAGGGCACAGTGAGAGACTCATACCTTGCTGGGAAAGTATAAGAGGTCAGCGTGCTGTTGTCTGTGATGTGGATTGGGCTGTTGGAGGAGGTAAAGCTGATGAAGTAGGAAGGGATGGATCATAAGCTCTTACATGCCACGCTGAAGAGTTTGGATTTTTTCCTGAAAGCAGTGAGAAGCTATTGATCGATTTTCAACAAATGGATAGCATAGATTTGTTCTTGGAACCAGTCAGTCTGGCAAATGGATGAGTTTGGGCAAGAGTAGAAGTAGAAGTAGGAGGGTCAGGTGTGGGCCTGAACTGAGGTAGAGGTGGTGGAGGTGGAGAAGAGGAGACAGATTGGAAAGATATAAGGGAGTAGGATTGAATTGCTGGCTGGTTAGGTGTAAATGATGAGATTGGAGGCCTGAGGAGACCAGATCATCTCCCATTTTGTGCCCTAGGAGAGAGGCTGGGAAGGAAGAGATTAGTTTTGGATCAGCTTAGGTGGAGGAGCTTGAAAATGAACAAATGAATGTTATGGTGTGTCTGGAGCTCAGGAGAAAGAGCTGGGCTGGTGATAGAGATTCAGAAGTCATCAATGTGTAGGTGATAGTTGAAGCAGAAGTTGGAAACTAGGAAAGCTAGCCAGAGAGCAGGGGGTCAGATTTTTAAGGTGGTGGTGGGTAAAATTGTCAAGTGCTGTAAAATCCTCAAATGTTAAGATTACTAAAAACTGTCCATTGGATTGGATGACTTTATCATGAGTTGTATTAGTTGGAGAGGATGGAGACCAGATTGTAGTGAGTGAGAAGTGGGGCAGCAGATATAATGAGAGGGTAACTTAGACTGTTCTTTTAAGGCTCTGAAGGCAAGAAGGGAAGATGGTAGTCAAAAGACATAGTGTCGGGCTTCCCTGGTGGCGCAGTGGTTGAGAGTCCGCCTGCCGATGCAGGGGACGCGGGTTCGTGCCCCGGTCTGGGAGGATCCTGCGTGCCGCGGAGCGGCTGGGCCCGTGGGCCATGGCCGCTGAGCCTGTGCATCCGGAGCCTGTGCTCCGCAACGGGAGAGGCCACAACAGTGAGAGGCCCACGTACCGAAAAAAAAAAAAAAAGACATAGTGTCAAGAGAAGTTTGTTTCTAAGCTTGGAGAGACTTTAGCGTAATTATATGTTGAGAGGAAAGGGCCAGGGGAGAGGAAGAGGTTGATTCATTAGAGAAAGGAGTGTGATTTATGGAGCAGAGGCTTCCTCTTGCCTTTCTGCTCCTTCTGATGAATTGCCATGCACAGGTTCTATTACTAGTCAGCAAGTATCTGTTGAGTCCCTCCTCCATGCCAGGTGCCATTCTAGGCACACCTAATTCAGTGTGGAACGAGAAAGTCATGTTCCTAGCTCTCAGAGTTTGGAGTTTGATTAGGGGTGAGTACAGGTGTTGCATTGGTAGTTGCAGATGCATTGACTTCCACAGAGGATGTTGGGGGGTGTGGTGTGAAGGGGCTTGGAGGATCATAGAGGCCTGAGGAAGTCACAGTTAAGCTGAGGCTGAAGACCGGAGACCTTGGCCAGGTGAAAGGTGTATCCTCGGCAATAGGAACGGTACATGTGAAGGTCCTGGAGTGGGAAAAGCACCATGTGATAGGGGAACTGAGAACAGCCTAGTCTGAGGCACAGAGAGTGAGAGGGGAAGTGGTGCTGGAGAGGTGAGCAGCAGAGGCTGGACCATCTAGTACTTTATTCTGAGGATAGTGGAGAGCCTTTGGCCGAATTTGTTTTTGTTTTCTTCCCCCCATTGAGGTAGCAAAGTGGCTGTAGAGTGGAAACATAGCAGTTTCCTTGGTGCTTTACCGGTTAAATACCAAGGATTCTTGGTGTTCATTCATAGGGAGAATGTGTGGAGTAGTCAGGACTCTGAAGGTGTATGACATGTAGTGATGTATAACTTTGCTGAGGCATACTTTTGAGTTATGTGTTAGGAGGCTGATGTGCAGTAGCTACTCACTTAGCTAGTAAATGAGCCTTCCTGTGGGGTCAGTATCTACTACTTTATTCAGTGACATGGTAATTTCTTGTCTGTGGGTGGAGTAGTATTATATCTTATGAAGTGATGTTCCTTAGGAAGGTTGTTTTGGTTGGGTACGTGTCTTGGGATTGTTAAGGGTTTGCTCTTTTGTTTTCTCATTGAGTGACAGATGCCAAGCCCATCAGTGAGGAAACATATGTAGTATTACTCAGTCCTGGCACGTTGTAGGTGTTTGCTAAAGGGTAACTTATTGTTTTAGGGAATTATTACTGTCTTGCAAAGGGGATGCAATGCAGTAACACGATACAGTTGTATTAACAGTTTGAGGAGAGAAAGATGATGGTAGGAAAAGAACAGAGTAAACAATTATTTTAATATTTGTATATCACTTTTTTTTTTTTTGGCCGCACTGCGTGGCTTGTGGAATCTTAGTTCCCCAACCAGGGAACAAACCCAGGCCCACAGCAGTGAAAGCATCGAGTTCTAACCACTGGAGCTCCAGGGAATTCCCTGTATGTCACTTTATAATTTATATTTTTACACTTATTCCCTACAGTTTCCCTATGATAGGTATTTTTATATGCCGATGAAGAAAGTGAGTCCCAAAGACTTAGCTGAGATCACACAGCTACTACAAAGAGAGTCAGAATGTTTTCTTCCACTTGGCTGGGACTCGACATAAGAATGACCTCCTTCCTTTTGCACTCTTTCTCAGTAAATTTTGCATCACATTGTTGGCTTTTTTTTCTAGTCAAGGTTAGACTGAAAACTTTTTGCTTTGTTGAGGACGACTGGTGCCTTATTATGAATGCTGCTCTGTTATTTTGACCCCATCCCTGTCCTTTGGGGTTGAAGTTAGAGTTTCTTGGGTATATGCTACTAACTGCTTGTTTTTCCTGAAGGTAAAATATGCCTTGATCAGTGCCCAGCGATGTATGATTTGCCAAGGAGATATTGCCAGGTATCGGGAGCAAGCCAATGACACGACAAACTACGGGAAAGCACGCAGGTACTGTTGCCTCTTGTTCATTACTCCTCTTCCCTGTGTGGCTTTAATCCAAGCCCTATTAAGAGCAATGGGCCACCTCAGCTGCCTCCTATATATATGTCCTACAGGTGACCCTATTTGCCTCATGCTTTACCACTCCAAGGTTACAGCTTAATTAGTAAGGGCTATCAGGTGATGAATTGGGAAAGTGTTGATAGAGAACTTTTTTTTTTTTTTTTTTTTTTTACTGTTTTTCTATTCCAGCTGGTACCTGAAAGCCCAGCACATTGCTCCCAAGAATGGGCGCCCCTATAACCAGTTGGCTCTGCTGGCAGTGTATACGGTAAGAAATCTTAGATGGGGAAGTATTTTGCAGGCAGTGTGTTAGAAATATGAATTTTGATAGCATCAGCTCCTGGAGCTAGATTTCATCTGAACACTATAACCCAAAGCATATCCCCTTCTGCCTCCCATCCTCAAACTCCTTTTGTTACTGTTACTTTCAGAGGTAAGTTGTCAGGGATCCCTCACTTCAGTTAAATCCACTTTTACTGCACTTAAGTTCCTAGGGGAATGCTTATTCTCCAGCCAAACATCACTCTTTGTTTTTGACCAGGGTTTCTGCTCTGAATCTTGTATTGTTTCCCTTCCCTAGGTTGAACTAGGTTACTCATTTCTGGAAGGAAAATAAGGCTCCCTTTATCTCTCCCCTTTAAAGTCCTCAACTAGTCTGAAGTACATCCTTCCTTCCTTTCCTCAGATCATCCCCTCATTCAACTTAGCTTTTCACCTAAGGAGTCTCCTTAGCAGAAGCACAGTAAGTGCCAAATTGTACCTCTTTAGATCTTACCAAACTCCTCTAAATGTGCCTCTAAAGGTGAGCCTTGGGAGCTGACAGAGCTCCTAGTGCGGAAGCTGACTTCAAGGGAGAGGGGGAGGGGCCACTGGTAAGTACCAAAGGTTTAAGAAGCAGCTAACATGCTCATTAGCAGGGAGAGTTTTCTTAATGCTGTAAAATTCATTGCCCAAATAAACAGTGTTTGAATTGATATTTTTATTCTACAAAGATTCAAAAATATTCCTAATACTTATTTATGGATGGAAATTGTTGATTAAGTAATGTGGTTTACAGATACACTTCCTGCAGAATCTATTGAATCTTTCTGTCTCTCTGCTTTTTACCTCTGTCCTATTCTCTTTGTGATATGCGTTGAGATTTTTCTTCACCCCTCTTTGTGACTTTATTTTTCTCTCCCCTTTATTCTTATCCATCTTCTGTTTTCCCTTCTCACTCATTTCTTGTCTCCTTTCCCAGTTTTTCTTCTTTGTAATAATCTAATGAATTGTTTTTTTTCTTGTTAACTAGAAAATATAATTAAAAAAATATTTTCCCCTCAATGGCTTTTAATAAAAATTGTGGTAAAATTCATGTAACAAAATTAACCATTAATTATGGTCCGTACCTAGGAATGGAATTGCTGGGTCATATGGTAATTCTACGTTTAACTTTCTGGGAAGCTGCCAAACTGTTTTTCATCGTGGCTGCACCATTTTACATTTCCACCGGCAGTGTAGGAGAGTTCTAGTTTCTTCATGTTCATGCTAACATTTGTTACTTTTCATTTTTTTGATTATGACCAACCTAGTGGGTATGAAGTGATACCTCATTGTGGGTTTTTTCTTCTTTAATTTTCTTTTTTGGTCAGTTTTAGGTTTACAGAAAATTGAGCAGAAAGTGCAGAGTTCCCATATACTTCCTCAGCTCTCAGTTTTCCGTATTATGAACATCTTGCATTAGTGTAGTACATTTGTTACAGTTGATGAGCCAGTATAGATACGTTATTATATTACTAAAGTCCATAGCTTACACTAAGGTTCACTTTTACTGTTGCACACTCTGAGTTTGAACAAATGTATAATAACAGGTATCCACCATTATATTATCATGCAGAGTATTTTCACTGCTCTAAAAATATCCTGTACTCCAACCTCCACCTCTTTATCCTTCTTCCTTCCCCCAAACCTTTGGCAATCACTGATGTTTTTACTGTCTCTATAGTGTTGTCTTTTCCAGAATGTCATATAGTTGGAACCATACAGTATGTAGTCTTTTCATATTGGCTTCTTTCACTTAGCATTTAGGGTTATTTTTGTGACTTGATAGCTCTTTTCTTTTTATTGTTGAGTAATATTCCATTGTATGGATGTACTACAGTTTATCTATTCCCCTATTGAAGGACATCTTGGTTGTTTCCAAATTTTGACTGTTATTAATAAAAGTGCTATAAATGTTCGTGTGCATGTTTTTGTGTGGACATAAGCTTTCATCTCATTTGGGTAGATACTTAGGAGTGTGATTGCTGGGTTGTGTAGTTAGAGTATATATAGTTTTGGAAGAAACTGTCAAACTGTCTTCCATAGTGGCTGTACCATTTTGCATTCCTACCAGCAGTGGATGAGAGTTCCTATTGCTGTGCATCCTCGTCAGCATTTGGTGTTGTCAGTGTTCTGGATTTTCCTCATTCTAATAGGTGTGCAAAATCCTATTTGTGTTAAACTTGGTTTTAACTTGCAATTCCCTAATGACATACAATGTAAAGCATCTTTTAATATGCTAATTTCCCATCTGTGTATTTTTGGTGATGTGTCTGTTTAGATCTTTTGCCCATTTTTAAATTGGGTTGTTTTCTTATTGAGTCTTAAGAGTTCATTTTATGTTTTGGATACCAGTCCTTTATCAGACATGTGTTTTACAAATATTTTCTCTCAGTCTGTGGCTTTCTTTTCATTTTCTTAGTGTTTTTCACAGAGCAGAAGTTTTTAAGGTTAAGGAAATCTAACTTAGCCAACTTTTTCTTTCATGGATTGTGCTTTTGGTGTCGTATCTAAGAAGGCATGACTAAACCCAGGTTACCTAGATTTTCTCCTGTGTTATCTTCTAGGAGTTGTAGAGTTTTGCATTTTACATTTAAGTCTACGGTACATTTTGAGTTAATTTTTGTGACAGGTGTAAGGTCTGTGTATAGATTCTTTGTTTTGCATGTGGATGTCCAGTTGTTTTCAACACTATTTGTTGAAAAGACTATCCTTTCTCCATTGAATTGTCTTTGTTCCTTTGTCAAAGATCGAGTGACTGTATTTGTGAGGGTCTATTTCTGGGCTCTGTATTCTGTTCCATTGATCTATTTGTCTCTTCTTTGGCCAGTACCACACCGTCTTGATTACGGTAGCTTTATAGCAAATCTTGAAGTCGGGTAGTGTCAGTCTTCCAACTTTTTTTTTTCCTTTCTTCCAGCTTTTTTCTTTTCCTTCAATATTGTGTAGGCTATCCTGGATGTTTTGCCTTTCCATACAAACTTTAGAATCAGTTTGTTGACATCTACAGATCTAGTGAGTGTGAAGTGGTATGTCATTGTGGTTTTGATTTGCATTTCCCTAATGACTAATGATATTGAACATCTTTTCATATGCTTATTTGGATGTTTGGAAAAATGTCTATTCAAGTCCTTTACCCATTTTTTTAAAAATTAAGAAAATTTAAAAAAATTTTCTTAATTGTAAAATACACATAAAACCAAATTTGCCATCTTACCCATTTTTTAAAATTTAATTAATTAATTAATTAATTTTTGGCTGTGTTGGATCTTCGTTGCTGCATGCGGGCTTTCTCTAGTTGTGGAGAGCGGCTCTACTCTGTTGCGGTGCGTGGGCTTCTCATTGCAGTGGCTTCTCTTGTTGCAGAGCATGGGCTGTAGGCACATGGGCTTCAGTAGTTGTGGCACTCAGGCTCAGTAGTTGTGGCTTGCGGGCTCTAGAGCGCACCAGTAGTTATGGTGCATGGGCTTAGTTGCTCCACAGCATGTGGGATCTTCCCGGACCAGGGCTCGAACCCATGTCCCCTGCATTGGCAGGCAGATTCTTAACCACTGTACCACCAGGGAATTCCCATCTTACCCATTTTTTTTTTTTTTTTTTTTTTTTGCCGTACGCGGGCCTCTCACTGTTGTGGCCTCTCCCGTTGCGGAGCACAGGCTCCGGATGCGCAGGCTCAGCGGCCACAGCTCACGGGCCCAGCCGCTCCGTGGCATGTGGGATCTTCCCGGACCGGGGCACGAACCCGTGTCCCCTGCATCGGCAGGCGCACTCTCAACCACTGCGCCACCAGGGAAGCCCCCATCTTACCCATTTTTAAGTGTACTGTTCAGTAGTGTTGAGTACATTCACATTGTTGTGCAATCACTCTCCAGAACTCTATTCATCTTGCAAAACTAAAACTCTCTACTCATTAAAACAACACCTCCCTATTTTTCCCTTCCTCTAGCCATTGGCAACCACCCTTCTTCACCTTTCCACCTCTGTGAATTTGTCTACTCTAGTTACCTAATATAAATAGAATCTAAAAGTATTTGTCTTTTTGTGACTGGCTTATTTCAGTTAGCGTTATATCCTTAAGGTTCATCCATGTTACAGCTCATGTCAGTTTCCTCCTTAAGGCTGAATAATATTCAATTGTATGTATATACCACATTTTGTTTATCTGTTCATCTCTCAATGGACACTTCTACCTTTTGGCCATTGTGAATAATACTACTATGAATATGAGTGTGCAGATACCTCTTCATGACTCTTCTTTCAATTCTTTTGAATATATACTCAGAAGTGGAATTGCTGGGTCATGTGATAATTGTATTTTCAGTTTTTGGAAGAACCACCATATTGGCAGCTGCACCATTTTACGTTCCCACCAGTAGTGCACAAGGGTTCCAGTTTCTCCACATCCTTCCTAACACACACTATTTTCTGTTGTTGGGTGTGTGTGTGTGTGTGTGTGTGTGTGTGTGTGTGTGTGTGTATTTAAATAGTAGCCAGCCTAACTGCTTCAAAGTTGTATGGCACTGTGGTTTTGACTTGCATTTCCCTAATGAGTACTGATTTTTTAATGTTCTTGTTGGCCATCTGCATATCTTCTTTGGAGAAATGTCTTTTCAGATCCTTTGCATATTTTTAAATTGGGTTGTCTTTTTTGTTGTTGAGATGTAGGAGTTCTTTATATATTCTGACGTTTATCAGATATTTGATTTACAAATATTTTCTCCCATTTTATGGGTTGTCTCTTCACTCTCTTGATAGTGCCCTTTGATGCACAAAAGTTTTTTTCTTTTTTTCAAGATTTATGTATTTATTTGGTTATGCTGGGTCTTAGTTGTGGCAGGTGGGCTCCTTAGTTGTGGCAGGCGGGCTCCTTAGTTGTGGCATGCAAACTCTTAGTTGTGGCATATGGCATCTAGTTCCCTGACCAGGGATCAAACTGGGGTCCCCTGCATTAGGAGCTTGGAGTCTTAACCACTGCGCCATCAGGGAGTTCCCCGCAAAAGTTTTTAATTTTGATGAAGTCCAATTCATCTATTTTTTCTTTTGTTGCTTGTGCTTTGATGTCATAGCTAAGAAACTCTTAACCAAATCAAAAGTTAAGATTTATTATTTATTTATTTAGAAGAAAATACAGGGATACATTTTTTATAGTTTTAGTTCTTATATTTAGGTCTTTGATCCATTTTTGGTTAATTTTTGTATATGGTGTGAAGTAAGGGTCCAATTCGTTCTTTTGCATGTGGACATCCAATTCTCCTAGCACCATTTGTTGAAGAGACTGTTCTTTCCCCATTAAATAGTCTTGGCACCCTTGTCGAAAGTCAGTTGATGTATGATAGGTTTATTTCTGGACTCTAGATTCTCTCACATTGATCCATATGTCCACCTTTGTGCCAGTACTACGTTGTTTTAATTACTGTAGCTTTGTGGTAAGTTTTGAGATTGGGTATGTGAGTCTTCCAACTTTGTTTTTCTTTTTCAAGATTGTTTTGGCTATCTGGGGTTCCTTGGAATTCCATATGGATTTTAGGATCGGCTTTTTCATTTCTGCCCAAACAGTCATTGTGATTCTGATAAGGATTGCACTGAATCTGTGGATTGCTTTGGGGAGTATGTACATCTTTACGGTATTGTCTTCTGCACAAACACAGGATGTTTTCCATTTATTTAGGTCTTCTCTAATTTCTTTCAGAAATGTGTGGTCGTTTTCAGTGTATAAGTTTTGCATCTCCTAGGTTAAATTTATTCCTAAGATATAAATATTCCTAACATATAAAGGTATGTTATTATTTTTGATGCTATTATGAATAGAATTATTTTCCTAATATTTCAGATTGTTCACTACTAATGTGTAGAAATACAACTGATTTTTCAGTGTTAATCTTTTTTTTTTTTTTTTTTTTAATATGTATTTATTTGGCTGTGCTGGGTCTTAGTTGAGGCATGTGGGATCTTAGTTATGGCATGTGGGATCTAGTTCCCTGACCAGGGATTGAACCCAGGCCCCCTGCATTGGGAGTACGAGTCTTAACCACTGGACTACCAGGGAAGTCCCTTGAGTGTTAATCTTGTGTCTTCCCTCAGTGGTCTGTTGCTACACTAATTAAATTGGTATGTGTTTCTTTCATGGACCTCTTACCTAAGTTAGTACTCTTTTCAAGTTCTTTTCCTCTGTCCCTCCTTTTCTGTCTCTGTGTTAACCCAGTTGTCTGTTTTTTTGGCCATGTCAAGCGGCATGTGAGATCTTAGTTCCCTGACCAGGGATTGAACCCATGCCCCTTGCATTGGAAGTGCAGAGTCTTAGCCACTGGACCACCAGAAAAGTGCCCCCAGTTGTCTTTTAAGATCACTTTCTCAGCTTTTCTGTAACCTTTCATTCAGTGGATCTCTAGTATTTACTGAGAACATGCTGTGCACAGTGCTTTGCTAGGTGCTGTGAGTGGTAAATATTTGATATGGTTTCTGTCCTGAAAGGAAACATTGTTGAGAAGACAACTGAGGTGTATAGACAATGATACAAATTAGACTTGATGCAATATGATGCAATTGATTGTTAGATACATCATTTCCTATACCACTAAGAAAGAAGAATGTGAATTAAAATAAGACATGATGATAGATAGTGATTGAGTTGTATCTTGATTTCAGAGATGTTAAAATATGAAAAAGGGCTTCCCTGGTGGTGCAGTGGTTGGGAGTCCGCCTGCCGATGCAGGGGACACAGGTTTGTGCCCCGGTCCAGGAGGATCCCGTGTGCCGCGGAGCGGCTGGGCCCGTGAGCCATGGCTGCTGAGCCTGCGCGTCTGGAGCCTGTGCTCCACGGCGGGAGAGGCCGCAGCAGTGAGAGGCCCGCGTACCGCAAAAAAAAAAAAGAAAAGAAAAGAAAACAATCATTGTAGAACTGATAAAATACTGTAAAATCAAATGAGTGGTGTAATTGGAATAACATTAAAGATAGCTCCCACTTAACTGACTGAAACTGAGTACCAGATATTCTGTTAAACTGTATATATTATATGAATTTTAATCTTTTCAGGAGCCATATATGTTGGTGAATGTATTCATTTTACAAATAAGGAAACCTTTCTAGGTTGACTTTCTTAGGGTTATACCTAATAAATGGCAGGACCAAATTCAGACTCAGGCAGTTGAGCTTAGAATGTACACCTTTAACCATGCTAGATGAATGCAAGATGGGACTTTTAAAGAGTGAGTAGGTGCTGGGGAGAGGGGGAAGTAGTAGTCTAGGTGCATTTTGAGACAGAAAAGGTAACAATGTATATGATAGAAAGATAGAAAGGCTTTTTGATATTCTTTCCCCCTTTATTTCAGTGTTTTTCCTTCTTTCTGACCCTCTCCCTTTCTTTTACTTATTAATTGGTTTTAAAATGGACTTGAAGTATTTATTTGCTGCATGCATTGGATAATAGTTTGTTTCCTTTTCTTCGTGGAGTCAGTATGTTGTAGTGAAAACATAAACTTAGGAGCCAGGCAGACCTAGGTTCAAATACTAGCTTATCTGGGATTTGGCTTTGAGACCTTGTTGGGCAAGTTATGTAATAATCTTCCTGAGCCCCTATCTCTTCATTATTAAAACGGGAATAGTAATCCCTGTGGGGCAGTTTCCTTAGGTTTGGAAATAATATCATAATATCTATGAAGTGCTGATCATTCACCTCACACTTAGCTATGCTTAATCAGTGATATTGCCATTGTTATTTATAATGTTTTAAAAACAATAATTAGTACATGCTGAACATTTTCTTTCTCTAAAAAGAAAGCATAATTGGTTTCGTATTTTGTGAGGCTCTTTATTCGTTTCTCCTGCTTTTGAGCATGTGGCTTTACGAGTACCTCTACACGTAAGACATAGTAGTGGGCAAGAAGAGAGCTCTGATGTAGTCGCCATGCCTTCTCCCCTGGATAGTTGTCTCATTTTCATGTTGGAACTCCTCACAGCTTGGAGCACAGGTTGGGAGGGATGGTAGGGTTTCCTGGGTCTGCTGACTCAGGCTGGAGTCCAGAAGAGAACTGGTTGACTCTGTCTCTGACCTCTTTCTGCAGAGGAGGAAGCTTGATGCCGTCTATTACTATATGCGCAGTCTAGCTGCCAGCAACCCTATCCTGACTGCCAAGGAGAGTCTCATGAGCTTGTTTGAAGAGACCAAACGGAAGGTGAGTGGGGATGCAGGCAGAATCATTCCTTCCTAGAAGAATGTGTTTCTCTTAGTGTCTCTGTGTCCTTAAGGAAACGACTGATAATGTCCTGAAGGGGTCCCCTCGGGCTGTGCTGATGGGAGTCAGTCAGTCTCTATGCAGAACGAAACTCAGCTTTAGGAGAGCTCTCCAGGGCCCACAGCATCTGGTTTACAGAATTAATAACTTTTATGAGACAAAACAGATGATACTCTGCTACTGTGGAACTATGGCAAAGTCTTTACTTTTTACAGTTCTTGGGCAACAAACTCAGGTGAGATGAGCACTTCTCTTGATTGGCTGAATCCCAGGAGAGTCTGAGCTTATATGTTTGTATGTCGTACAGGCAGAACAGATGGAAAAGAAGCAACACGAGGAATTGGAACTGAGCCCTGACCAATGGCGGAAAGCAAAGAAATCCACTTTCCGGCATGTTGGAGATGACACCACTCGCCTGGAGATCTGGATTCATCCATCCCATCCCCGGTCCTCCCAGGGCACTGAGTCTGGGAAGGATTCTGAGCAGGAGAATGGGCTGGGCAGCCTGAGCCCCAGTGATGTAAGTTCCTGAGGGTGATGTTATGAGCAAGACTAGCTGAGTAAGCGTGAGTGTTCTGGTACATGCAACCATGGAGCACTGCACAGACATTCCCATTCATCTCAGGAAAGGCAGATCACTTCAGGCTCCTTGATGTTCTCATTTATGTCCTCCGCCTACACTTCCTTTACCTTTGCTATTCGCTTCCCTCTCTCACCACTATGTGGCACTGTAGAATTTAGTAAAAGTAATTTTTCTAAGTGAAGATTAATTTAGGATTTGTATAGGATGACAGTTTCTTGTTGCTTTGGGTTTATAGTCATCAATATGATGCTGTAGGATTCTGTGTGGGATTTTTGAAGCTAGGGAGAGGACACAGTAGTTGGAAAACTGCAAATGGAGGGTTCATTGTGCCTTGAGGGTAAAATTTATAGAGGAGTGGGTGGTGGGGTAATCTGGGACCAGGCCTTGAAGGGTCATGTAATAAGTAATTTGACCTTTATCCTGAAGGTAGTAGGGAGCTATTGAATGCTTTAAATAGGGAAATCTCAGATGTGCACTTTAGAAATATGACTCTGGCTGCTTTGTGGAAAATTTGGAGAAGGGTAAGACAGAAATAAGAAGAGTAGGAGCATGCTACAGTAATCCAAGTGAGAAGTGAGAAGGACCTGAACCAGGAAATGGCTTTGCAGATGGGGAGAAGTGAACAGAAGTATATTAACGAGGTAAAATCCAAAGGACTTGATTGGACATGGGGAGCTGAGGGAGAAGAGGGAATCAAAAGTAACACTTAGGTTTCTCATTTGGAAACTGGGTGAATGATGGTCTTGGTTTTAGGAGAAAGATGATGAGCTTAGTTTTGGACATGTTGGAATTTCTATAGGACATTGACGTGGAGATATTTAGAGGCTAGCGGATATCTGAAGCTGAGGAGAGAGATCTAGGCCAGAGATGAAGATACTTGAAGGCATCCTGTTATAGATGGTACTGAAGTCATGAGAGAGCTGCTTCAGCTGCTCAAGGAAAGAACATAATGATAAATAGGTTCGAGGTCTAAGAAAGAAAGGAGATAGATGGCAGGGAGAAGTCCTTGCAGTTGATGAGAAAGAAGTAGGATCCAGAGCACAAATGAGGGGATTAGCCTGAAAGAAGGTAAGAGAACCCCTCTTTCTTGTGCTTGAGGGCAGGGAGGAACAGATAATTGGGGATGCAGGTAAGTTTGTATTATAGGAGGAAGGTGAGTGAGGGCCTTTTGATGATTTCTGTTTCCTCTTTGAAGTTGGAGGCATGGTTGTCTAAGAATGAGTCAGAGGTGGTGGGATAGGAGGACTTGTCCTTTGGGGTTTAATTTAAAATTTCCATTTATCTTCCTATATCTTTAGTCTCTAGCTGTTTTCGGGATGACTTGGAAAGCAGTCATTGCTTATAAATGAAACTACCAACTTCCTATATGTCATGGTGTACCTGGGGCCCCAGTACATCAAGGTGCTTCAGAGGGGTTGCTGCTATGGTAGAATCCCTCACTACTGCCTCTTCTAGTTTGAATATTACCACCCCAAACTGGATGCCTATTTGAATAAGAGATAAATTGTTCTGTTGATGAGCTCCACTGTGTGTCTTTAAAATGAAAGCAACAATGACAATTTGAGAAAGCATTTTATGGCTTTCTTTGGCCTTGGCCTCAAGCTTAGGGAGTATCTCTCATAAAAGTTATAATTAATCTTTTATAGCTTTCTCTCTTCCATTAGGTGTTTTATTTATTTTTTAAGCAATGTGTTTGTAAGTTTGTATTTTTATTCTTTTTCATTTTTAAAATTTATTGAATTATAGTTGATATACAATGTTGTGTTAGTTTCTGGTATACAGCAAAGTGATTCATTTATATGTATATATATATATTCTTTTTCATATTCTTTTCCATTATGGTTTCATACAGGATATTGAATATAGTTCCCTCTGCTATACAGTAGGACCTTGTTGTTTATCCATTCTATATCCATTTGCATCTTCTAATTCCAAACTCCCAATCCATCCCTCCCTCACCCCTTTCTCCTTTGGCAACTGCAAGTCTGTTCTCTACGTCTGTGAGTTTTTCTGTTTCGTAGATAAGTTCATTTGTGTCATATTTTAGATTCCACATATGAGTGATATTATATGGTATTTGTCTTTCTCTTTTTGACTTGCTTCACTTAGTATGATAATCTCTAGGTCTATCCATGTTGCTGCAAATGGCATTATTTCGTTGTTTTTTATGGCTGAGTACTATTCCATTATATATATATATATATATATCTCTCTCACATGTTTTTTTTTTGAAAAGGAAAGTGATTTTTTAAATAGATCTTTATTGGAGTATAATTGCTTTACAATAATGTGTTAGTTTCTGTTGTACACCAACGTGAATCAGCCATATGCATACACATGTCCCCATATCCCGTCCCTCCCACCCTCCCTATCCCACCCCTCTAGGTCATCGCAAAGCACCGAGCTGATCTCCCTGTACTATGCTGCTGCTTCCCACTCGCTAACTGTTTTACATTCGATAGTGTATATATGTTGATGCTACTCTCACCTCGCCCCAGCTTCTCCCTCCCACCCTGTGTCTTCAAGTCCATTCTCTATGTCTACATCTTTATTCCTGCCCTGCAACTAGGTTCATCAGTACCTTTTTTTTTTTTAGATTCCATATGTATGCCTTAGAATATGGTATTTGTTTTTCTCTTTCTGACTTACTTCACTCTGTATGGCAGACTCTAGGTCCATCCACTTCACTACAGATAACTCAATTTTGTTTCTTTTTATAGCTGAGTAATATTCCTTTGTATATATGTGCCACATCTTCTTTATCCATTCATCTGTCGATGGACATTTAAGTTGGTTCCATGTCCTGGCTATTGTAAATAGTGCTGTAGTGAACATTGTGGTACATGTCTCTTTTTGAATTATGGTTTTCTCAGGGTATATGCCCAGGAGTGAGATTGCTGGGTCATCTGGTAGTTCTATTTTTAGTTTTTTAAGGAACCTCCATACTGTTTTCCGTAGTGGTTGTATCAATTTACATTCCCACCAACAGTGCAGGAGGGTTCCCTTTTCACCACACCCTTTCCACATCTTCTTTATGCATTCATCTGTCGATGGACTTTTAGGTTGCTACAGTGTCTCAGCTTTTGTAAATAGTGCTGCTGTGAACATTGGGGTGCCTGTATCTTTTCATATTAGAGTTTTGTCTGGATGTATGCCCAGGAGTCGGATTGCTGGATCATATGGCATGTGTTTTTATTCAGTGTGTAGCTTCTCGGAGCTGCACGTTGGATCCATTACATTTTTTTATTTTATTATTAATTATACAAATAACATACGAGTATATTTTTAGTAAAAATTTCAGATGATCACAGATGTGTGCAGAGTAAAATGTGGTAATTTGTTTTCTAAACTATTGTTGAAGCTGTTTATATATTTTCAGCCTATACATCATCCTTGGGTACATACACCATCCTTAATTTTTTTTAAATTTACATCTCTGGGTTTGGGCTTTTAGTTCTATACTACCAGCACTTGAGGAAGAAGGCTGCAGTTTCATAGCTCTCTGTTTATCCAGTTAGGAAACCACACTTCCTGTTTTACCTGCTTTCTCAGGTTCAAGCCATCTTCCCATATCCTTTTCTTTTTTTTTTTTTTTTTGCGGTACGCGGGCCTCTCACTGTTGCAGCCTCTCCTGTTGCGGAGCACAGGCTCCGGACGCGCAGGCTCAGCGGCCATGGCTCACGGGCCCAGCCGCTCCGTGGCATGTGGGATCTTCCCGGACCGGGGCACGAACCCGTGTCCCCTGCATCGGCAGGCGGACTCGCAACCACTCCGCCACCAGGGAAGCCCCCATATCCGTTTCTTTCATACAGCAGGCCCCAAGAACTTAGCTTGCTTTCTCTGTTCCCTGCAATAGGAACATACAGTTGATGGGAAGTGGGAATCTATTCACAGACGTTTGAGTAATTAGGCTTTGGGGATACAGAGATTAAAACAACCAAAAATGATTTTTAACCTTAGGGAGCACTCAGTCATGTGGGGAAGACAGAAACATACGATTATATTATATATTATAATGCAGTGTGCCAAGTGCTGTGATAAAGGCAAGGCTGAGAGGCTATGGAGCATAAATTAAAGCATCTAATGGGCATGGTTAGGTAAGGCTAGAATGAGGAGGCACTTTGTAGCTGAAGGATGATGTAAGGGCATTTCCACTCTCAGGCTGAAGGCTTAGGGAGCTGCAAGTCATTCAGTATGGCTGAAGGCTTAGGGAGCTGCAAGTCATTCAGTATGGCTGGAGGCTAGGATGTGAGTGGTGCTCTTGCTAGAGACTTGAGTCATCCTTTACCCCTTCCTTTCCTATACCCCACATCCAGTCAGTATCAAGAGCTGTTTGGTCTACCCCTAAACATAATTTGAATCTATCTACTTTTTTCTATTTCTACTACCACTATCGTAGTACAAGCTATCATTCATTATTTCAGTAATCCACACACTATTAAGAAGTTCTTAATGACCCTTCCACATTTATTCCTGGTCCTTCTTAGGCCTTTCTTTTTGGACAGTAACCCAAATGAGCTTTCAAATACACATTTCTGGTCACGTCACTTCCCTATTTGAAAGTCTTCAGTTGGTTCTCTTTGCTCTTAGAATCAGGTCCAAAATCCTTAAAGTAGTTTACTGGGCCCTGCAAGATTTGGTCTCTGCTGCTTCTGACCTTATCGTGTACCCTCTTCCCCGCTTTGTTCTTGTTCTGTAGGTATACTGGCTTCTTCCTTGAAGGGCCCAAGCTCTTTTCTGGCCCCTGGCTGTGGCACATTCTCTTTGCCTGCAGTGCTCTTCTCTCTTTATCAGCTCCATTTTTGCTTCTCCTTAAACTCTCAGCGTAAATACCACTTCCCTTTTCCAGGGGAGCTTTTCCTGATCCCTGAGCCTGGTTGCTTCCCCTTTGTAATGCCATATTTGTGATTAAGTAATTTTACAGTTACTTAAAAACT